TTTTTTTTTTTTTTTTTTTTTTTTTTTTTTGGTATCAGGGATTGAACTTGGGTCCTTGTGCTTTCGAGGCAGGCAGCAGAACCACTGAGCTAAATCCCTGGCCCTATTGTTTTCATTTTCAATACAAGTAAAAATTCCCCAAAGTTGCACACAGTCGGAGTAACTCAGGACCAAAAATCACACATCTCTGTACTTCTTGTGTAAGGAGAATATTTATTTAAGCTACTCTTAATTGCTACTTGCAGTTAAATAGAGCCCTAATTTTTACAGAAAAGGGGGCCATTTTGAGTGGCTCCACTTTCAATATATCAGAGTTATACCTGGTTTCTGCACCTGTCTTGATTTTCATGTCTTCTTAAAGAGAGTATTCCGAATATAATTTAATATATTACTATACAGTAGTGTAATTTACTGTATGTAATGAGACATGACACTGGAGTATCTGCCATTCTCAGCCTCTTCTGAGGATTACCAGAGTAGTTCTTTATGATAGGTTTCCATGCTTTGTGCCAGGTGACTGGGTCTCTCCCTGAAGCTAGGTTGACTCAAGCATTCAGCACTTGACCCGAAGCAGCTGTCCCTAGATCTACAGGCCAGCCGCAGCCATGAGAGCACAGCTCAGTAAAGGCACTGCATGGATACATGCTGAGACAGATGTGGGAGACCCCAAGAGAATGCAGAAGCCAGGAGGCAAACCAAGTCATGACTCAGCAGGTGCTGAGAAGCATCAGGAAAAGGTCAGGCACAATGGTACATGTTCAAAGTCCAAGCTACTCGGGAGGCTGTGGCAGGAGGATCACTTGAGGCCAGGAGTTCAAGACCAGCCTGGGAAACATAGCAAGACCTCATCTTGAGAAGAAGAGGGTAGAGGAGGGAGGGAGGGTAGGGGGAGGAGGGGGAGGAGGAAGAGAGGAAGAGGAGGAGGAGAAGAGGAGGAGGACACAGAGTTGCTGTCTTCGGTCAACTTCCTTCCTGGATGCAGTGTGTCTGCTGCTCATACATCCTGTCCCCAACTCTAATCACACTGCAACATTTTCCACCACAGCTTTCTGCTCTGGGGCCTCTGTCACTCCTTTGCAGGCTGTCTTGCTGGGTGTTCCTGCAGTTGCACTGGTCTTTGTGGTCTTAGCTGATTCAGCTGTACTTTTCCTCTCACCCTGCAAACCACACATCTCAGCACAATGCAGTCTGTGGGTCAGAGACGCTGGTTAACATTTGTGAGCTGGGTCCTCACGGGCTGTGATTTACCATCAGTCAGTTCTGTTTTTATTTTCCCAAAGTGGGGAAAAAGCGATATTCCAGGGGGGTTTCTAGAAGCCTGCAGGACCCAGAAAATGGGCCTATGCAGAGGTGTAGTTTGTCCAGGGCTGAAGAAAACAGTCTGGAAATGTTGAAAGGAGAAAGCCCTGGGGGCTGGTACCTGAGGACGTGAGTGAGGTTTCCATACAGGGTGTGTTAAAACAGACCAAGAAAGGATAAAGCACAACCAAGCCTGCAAAGGATGCAGCCAGAGTAAGAGGTGGATGATGGTGCAGGGCATGGTGCACAAACAGACAAGTGAGTGCATATGCAAGCATGTATATGTGCAAAAGGACTGGCAGTGAAGACTTGTGGAAAATCGAGTAAGAACATAGTACTCAGGTTCTTTTCTTTATTTTTTGGGGGGGTATGGGGATCGAACTCGGATCCTTGTGCTTGTGAGGCAGGCGTTGGAAGTATTCAGAGCACTGCTTGCATAGTCTTGCTGACAAGTGAGTGCGCAACACACAGGCAGGCCGCTGAGTTGTTAAATGCAAACTGACCCATCACAGGAAAGCAGGACGAGGGCAAACAACCATTCCACCTCACGTTCCTTGCCATGGAGCCCCTCCTGCCTCTGAGAAGCCAGGGACTGCATCCTTGCTCTCTGTAATTTGAACCTAAGGTCTTGTGCTTGAAAGGAAACCATTCTGCTACTTAGCTTTGTTCCAGCCCCTTAGACAACTTTAAAGTACAGGACCCACAAACTGCATCAAGTTGTGAGGCCCCAGGAAAGGCAGTTGTTGTGAGGCTGTTCACTCCACCGGGTTCCAAGAAGCCGTCTGTACCCCAAGCACTTGCATTGGAAGCCGACTTTAACCTCAAAACACAACCAGGCTCTTGAGTTTCAAGCTGGCTGTGGATTTTAGAGCACAGGTCGACAGTTGCCTATAGTTTCTGTATAATTTCGAATCTAGCATGAAACCCTCACGGTAATCAGTTCATTTAGGAACATGTGTCCTTTCACGGCTCCCAAGCATTCTGGAAATCCTCAGTGGACCCATATAACATGTAGCAGAGTAAGCAGTTGTTCAGAGGAGAGACTGTGTGCAAGGAGAGCCAAATCCGGCTAGTGTGGTGGCACACATCTATAATCCCAGCACTCAGGAAGCTGAGGCAGGAGGATTGCTGTGAGTGTTCAATTCCAGCCTGAACTACAAAGTGAGACCCTGTCTCAACTCCCTACCACTACCACCACTGCACTGCCAAAAAATTTACAACCACATCAGACCCCCAGCTTTGCTTCTACCAGCTACCCTGACCCTGGAATAATTAACCTATGTAAGTTTCGGTTTCTTTACCAGTGAAACGAGGATAATAATATCCAGTCCAGAGCAGTGTTGTGATGAATTAAAGAGGTTTTGTAACATTGTCTATCACTGCATAACAAATTACTACCAAAATATAGTGGCTTAAAGAACAATCAACCTGAGTTATCTCACAGCTTCTGGAGGTCAGGAATTAGCTGGGTGTTTCTGGTTCAAGGTCTCAAAAAATTCGAAGATGTTTGCCAGGGCTAAGGTCATGTGAAGGCTGCTCACTCCGGGGCTGTGTTGGTGCCAGCTTCTGTTTCTGTCCATGTGGTTCTCTCCTCCAGATTGCTAGTGTCTTCACGCGTGGTGACTGGCCTCCCCCACAGTGGTCAACCAGAGAGACTGAGGCAGAAGTACCAGTGGCTGCACGATGTGGTCTCCAAAGTCACACATCACTGCGTCCACTGTTTCCATCTGTCGGGGAGGTCCGTCCTGATTTAAAATGAAAGGGGACTGTAGAAAAAAGATGCCTGGAAGAAGCCAGGATCATCAGTGGCTGCAATGGAGGCTGGCACCCAGGATGGGTCGCAGTGTCTCTAGCGAAACAGCAGCTGCGAATAGGATTATCATGAGTATCTGCCTCTTACCCTTCCATAAAAGGAACCATTTCTTTTCCTTTGCTCTAAAATTGCCAATCACTGCTTTTCTGCTCTCAGATCTAGTGGCCTGCCCGTCCATGGTAATGACCTCACAGGCTGATTGAAGTGACGTAAGGGTGTATTTTGAAAGTGACTTCCTTTGTGTCTTGAGAATCTGTCCCTGCTCCTTGCTGGCTTCTCTGATGGTCTGAATGCTGCAGTTAGAGGGGTCTGCAGGACCTAAGATATAGCTGCTGCCGGAGAGATGCTAACTTGCAGTTTGCGGCCAACTCCACTAGGCAGAAGAGAGATAGGTCGTGGCTGTGACAAAAGCAAGGACTGTACCAGACATGGAAATGTGCCATTAAGGAGCCGCTAAGGTTGCCCTTCTCTTCTCAGGCAGTGTTTGTCTGCAACGGTCCCAGGCACCTGGCTAGCTGTAAGCCACTGTCATGGTGACCTTCCCTACACCTGTCACAGCAGATGATGCCGCATGTTTGATGAGTCTCAGGTTGGCTCATGACGGGATGGCAGAGGACATCTCAGTGGTAGAAGTCACCAGTTGTTCCTAATTTCAGTTCTCTCCTCTTCCTTCCACAGGAGGAGCATGCCTGATTATTAGCAGAGAACAAGGCATTGCAGAGTAAAACCTACATTTACCGTGCTTGACTGACAAAGTTTTGGCCAATGGGACATACGTGGAGGTGGTGTGTGCAACTTGTGGAGACGGAGTGTGTCTTCTTCTCTTCCTTCTCCCGCTAGCTGGAATGTTGATGGAATGTCCAGAGTTTCAGGAGCCATTTGGACCATGACGTCACCTTGGGAATGGAAGCTACCTGCGGAAGAGGAAAAATACAGAAGAAATAGGAGCCCTTACATGCTACAGTTTGTATTTGGTGTGTTCCCCCAAAGGCCTCCTGTTAGCAGCCTGTGGCACTGTTGGAAAGTGGTAGATCCTCTGGGAGGATGGGCCTTCTGGGAGGACCCTGAGGTTTGAAGAGGACATTAAGACCCTGATATCTCTCTCTCCCTCCCTCCCTCCTTTCCTCCACCCACCTCTGTCTCTCTCTTCCTCCCTCCTTCCTGGTTGCCATGAGGTGAACAGGCCTCCTCTGACAGATAGTCTTCCCACTATGATACATCACGCTGCAACAGGGCCAGTCATGGACTGGAACATGAGCCAAATAAACCTTTCCTCCTTTTAAGTTGATTCCCTCAGTTATTTTGTCACAGCAATGGAAAGCTCACACTCTGGCAGCACAGGGTTCTATTCCTACCCTAGGCTACCTGCCTCTACATTCCCTGAAAATTAGAAAGAAATAGATTTTTAATTCCGAAGTCACTCTTAGTTTGTTTTCGTTCAGTTACTTTTATAACAAACCTTGTCTGAACTACATACCTTCCTATTACTTTGGGTGTAATTCCAGGTCTTGCACATGACCTGCCACCAAAATGTGAATCCAAGAATAAATTTTAAAGGTGCAATTGCCAGGTTAAAATTTTTGTACAATCTTAAGAGTTTGGGTAAGTTAACTTTCAATGGTTAGACAAATTTAGTTTCCCTCCAGCAGGCCCACTATTTTCCTTGAACTATTGCGTTTTAATGAAAAGACTTTGACAGCACTCCCATAACACTGTGAATCACCTGCACCTCCACACCTGTCATTTTTCAGACTGCTTCCCTTCCCAGAGGAAAGAGCAGAGCTCCAGAAAGGCAGGAGTCTGACAAAGGACATGGCAGCTGGGCCAAGCTTGGCAGCAGCAGCCCACACCAAGGCTGCTCCCAGGGAAGACCTGCCTGCCTCCTGCTGGACTTTCCAGCGCTCAGAAAGAACCCAGTGTAGTGTGTGCTCTGCTTTGGCAGGACTCCGGGTCCAGTCGATGCCCACTGAGCTTGTTCTACAGAACTGATCGGGGTGCCTCCCCTTCTCCAGCTTTATCTGTCTTCTTCTTCTCTTCCTCATTCTTTGACATCTGATTATTTGCAAAAAAGACAATAACCTCATTGGATTCTTCTATTTATATCTCTCTGGGCAAGAAATATGGATCAACATCACCATTTGGATGGCTGTTCGTTACATATTGTGGGGGATATAATCTGACTTATTTAACAGACATGTTGCCGTCTCCATTTCTTGAATTTTTCACTAGCATGTGTCCCAACACTTCTGTCTTTGTGCACTTGTCCAAGTGCCTCTGTAAATTCTGAGAAGAGGAACTCAGTTGGAGCAGTTGCATTTCACCCACCTCCCTGCAGAAGGGCTGGCCTGACTTCCTTCAGGAAGGTTGTCAGCAGTGCAGGGTTTGGGAGCAATCAACCCTCCTCCATTTCCATTTCTTTCCTCTCTGTAGCTGAGAGGCAAGTTGCTTTCACTCTGTTAAATCCTTCTTTTCTTACATTAAACACACACACACACACACGCGCGCGCGCGCGCGCGTGTGTGCTCCCCACAACTGTTTGGTGTCATAGCCAGGAGCAGCAGACCTTCTGTTACAAAGGGGTAAAATTAAAAGTGCCATTAATTCAGTTGGAAATGAAAGAAAAAAAATCACTGAAATTCACTGAACTGAAATTCAGTTCTGCTAAGTCATATATTCAAAGCCTCATGCATTTGCTAAGTCATATATTCAAAGCCTCTAATTGGTACAGTATATTCATACATAGGCGTATACTTTATTTATATAGGGGATGGTATGTGTTACATACCTTAAAGTAGGAAGATATTATGCTTTCTTTTCAAGGCCTACTATCCTTATTTTACAAATACTAAAAAATAGTAAACATTTTTTTTTCACATCATTGAGGTTTATTTGTTTGTTTGTTTGTTTTCTTGCAATGCTGGTGATGGAAACTTGGACCTCCTCATGTTAGGCCAATTCTGTCCCACTGAGCTGCAGCCCCAGCCCTACGCTTGGTGTTTTTTTGTTTGTTTTTTTTTGTTTTTTGTTTTTTTGGTAACAAGCTTGCTAAATGACCATGAGGGAGGGCTGTAGTCAGGGGTAATGGGGAGCCAGCAGGGCACTTTATAATTTATCAGTTGTGAATGACATCTTACTTCCATGTCAGAGCCACACTCTAACACCCCTCACACCCTAAAAAAAGTCTTCTGAAATCTTGTGTGTATGGTACTGAGAATTGAATTAGTTCATGCTAAGAAAGAACTCTACCACTGAGCCACACCCCGCCAACCCTAAAAATCTTTCTCCAGATACAGAGACTTGGTTTCTCTTCCCTTTAACTTGATGCATATAGGAGAGATATTAAAGATGTTCTGATTTTACTGGTTTTAACAAATGCTGTTTTCCTTTACACTTGTTAAGGAAGGAGTCGTGCAGGGTTCAGGATGATGAAGCTGTAACCGGATCATCTGGTCTATGCCTTGAGCAGGCTCAGCATTTCCCAACAGTTTGCTCCTCTGAGTTTGCTGGTTTGGAGTCAAGCCCTAGAGACAGCGCCTCACAGTTAAGCGGAATGCAGTGAGGCGAAGGAGCGCTCTCCTCCCCGGCAGCTGCATCTGCAGTTTGCAGCAATGTAAATACAGCTGGTTTGAAGCCAAGCCACCCTGCCCTCCTGGTAAATGTTCAGAAAGAGATAATGCGAGAAGTTTATTTTAATTTTTAAACACATAGAAAATATTAAACTCCTGGAACCCCTCGCAGACTTAATATGTCACCAGATCCAGAGCCTCACACGTCAGTTGAAAAGGGCAGTTCCTGGGGCAATCCGTGGAGACCCATCTCCAATGACAACCAGCTAAGCAAGTGTGTGCAGCTTGCCCCATCTGGGACCCCTCTGCTGGTGGCTGTAACGACAGGCACACGCGCGCTTCCCATCCACTACGCACAGGCACAATGGCCAGAACTAGTTGAAGTAGCATGAAAGTATTCTGGAAATATTCAATTCAAGATAGTCTTTATTGCTGCCGGGGTTTATTTTAGTTGCTTGAGAAGATCGAGAAGGGAAGGGAAAACTGATTTTACTCAGCCAGCTGTTCCTTTTACCCGCTTGGGTAAGACGCAAAAGTAATTTGCTCCTTTCTGTGTGACCGATCTGCATGTGACTCTCCCCTGGGTCTCCTTGGGCCTCTTCAGACTTTCAGGCAAAGAGATTGGATCCCAGCCAAGTAACCACTCCAGAGTTCGAAAGCCCTCATTATCTGGCCATCCCTTCAATGTCTGTCTTCAGCCCCTTGCTCTGCGAGGTGTTATCACCTCTGGTTTAGATCTCAGCAGAGGTAAGGATGGGCAGTACCCTGCACCGATCTTACATTCTCGATATTGGGAGGCTGTTGAGATGCTTGCTTTGCTATGGCTGTTTTCTTCTTTCTCTCTCCAGGGGTGCAGAGAAAAGAATTTATTTCACATGCAGTTACAAGGAATGCGAAAAATTTATTTTACAAGCACTTCTAATGATAATGCTGGAAGAAGAGAGCATCTAATGGTAAGATAGAAGGAGACTGAAGACAGGCTTCTCAATACTGGATATTTAAATGTTGCTACCCACAGTGGCACCTATGGGGCTGATCTAACTGCCTAGGAAAGACTGACCAGAGAATGCAGGGAAATAAAACAATACTTCACTGCCATAGTTACAGTCACAGAGCCGGGAGTGGTGGTGCATGCCTGTAATCCCAGCACTCGGGAGGCTGAGACAGGAGGATCTCTGTGACTTTGAGACCTGCCTGGGCTACGTAAGTGAGTTCCAGGTCAGTCTGAACTACATAGTGAGACCATCTCTTAATAAAACAAAACAAACAAACAAACAGAGTTATAGTCACAGGACTCCAGCTCTTAAAGATTTTCCCCTGTCTTTGGCCCAGCAAGGTGAGGGGTCCAGCGATGTTCTGTTTTCCAGAATTTTCCTTTGTAAGACTTGTGAATGCTCCAGAGGCATTCAACAAACAAGGCTCTGGGTCATATAAGATAACCAACATCTGTATTTTACAGAGTGTAAAATTCAAATACATTATCCTTCCTTTTGCATCTAACTACATAATGGAGTCTGTTAAACATTACAAAAAGCCATTATTTTGGACTAAATTTCCACACTGGGTCCTAACAGCCTAAAAATCAAAATGGATTCACTCATGCTAAAGTTCATGTAACCATGCTGAAATTGAGCTATTTTTCTGACCTTCAGAGAAATCAGTATTAGAGAGAGAGAACACCCAGATTTCCCAGTTCATTTGGCATGATGATGAAGCTCTGCCTTAATCCTTATACAAAAGAAGCAATAGGAAATAACTTGACATTAACCATCCATCGTTTTCCTATTGTTCTGTGTCCCTGCCTCTGCCTTACAAGGAAAATAACTTTGAAATGACCAATCTGCTTTTTTATTGTTGTTTTTGTACCTGCTTTGTTCAAGCCCTTCTGTGTCTATAAAACCAAGTACCTTTGCTAGGACTGTAGAAGCAATTATTCTGTTTCCTGAAATGAGGTGTTGTCCTATTCTAGAACTGAAAAGAAAGCCAATGAAGATCTTCAAACTAAACTGTTGCAATTTTGTCCTTTGATAACTCTTTACTAAAGCTGGAGAGTCGGTGCTGAAGTACTGACTTAAGTCCTAGTGCTGATGTATTTCGCAGAGAGGCTTGCCCTTTAAGCCTGCTATTGAGTATAAAGGAACCATTTTCCATAGGCAGCCCATTTGATCTAAATATAAAATGGTCGGATGGAAGCAGGGATGGAAACTCCTGCCCTTCCTAGCTAAGTTGGCTTACAGGCCTCTGTCCCTGCAGCAGCAGTGCTTTTCCTGATGGTTGAAGTGAGTCTCCAAGCCCAGGGTGATCTGCAAAGTCCTAGAACAGGGCCACCATCAATCAGCCTTGGCTTCAGATCTTGGTGCTAGATCCACCCCTAACATTAGTGGAGCCAAGGCAAGAGAACCGCTGGAAGTCCCAGCACTCTGCTTGACCCATCTTGTTCTCTGCCCTGGCCTCCATCCTACATTGAAAAAAGATTTTGTGCTCCAACTCCATCCACATTTCAGGCAAAGGCTGCCCTCAGCCACCACTCAGACCAATCAAGGTGCATTGCGAAGGAACAGTGTCCCCTGGGGAGAATAGTCCCAAATAGGCCTTCAGAATCAGACTTGGGACATGTGAGCAGGGAATTCAGGGGTTCTAGGTATGCCTGGGTGTTCTAGAATAGGGATGGGGGCCTGGGCTCCAGGTAGGAGCATCCTTTTGGCCCCATGTTTTTTGTACCATGGTGGGGGCATAGGTGAGGGGTAGAGTGCATGACCTTCTAAAGCTCATGCCTGAACCCTCACTTGCTGCTTCACACAAGTTGTTCAGGGGTCCTAGCTTCAAATTCCCCATGTACAAAATAGGACTAATTGTCACAGCCAGTGGCTAAGGCCCGTCTCCATGGTAGCCACACTAGCCAGAGCACAGCACCAAGCTTGGCCGGGTGCCATGAAGCCTCGGTGGTGGATGTGCAGAAAAGAAGAACAAAGACAAGACCATGTCCCAACTTCTCAACTCTGAGACTCTCAATAACATCTATACCGCCCTTTCTGAGAAGTGTGACCTCCTTCTCTCTGTCCCCAAATTCCTCAAGGCAGCAACTCCTCCCCTCCTCTTTAAAGGCTTTGTTCTCTCCTCAAGGGCAGCTGACTCCCCCTTTCTGTTTGTGCCCAGTGAAGTTAACAGTCTTGTTGCTCACATAAAGCAAGTCTGGGTGGTCTTTCTCCTATGCATCTCTAACACACTGATAACAATACTTGGCTCATGGGTTGTCGTGAGCACTAAGTAAGGTAATTCATATAAAGTGCTTAGGATAGTGATATCTGGTAGCAGTAAGTACTCACAAAGGAGAGCTGTGATTATTCTTTTTGAGAAATTCATCTGTTTCTACTTTTTTTCTGTGGTGCTTGGAATTGAAACCAGGGCCTCATGCATGCTAAGCATGTGTTCTCTTTGCTCCCAGTCCCAGTTCTTATTTTATACTCACAGAATCTCAGTGCAAGCTGGGACCCACTCACCCAGTAACTTCAGGCACACCCAACCCCACTTAATAACGTCACCTCCATGCCATTGTCATAGGGCAGTCAACAGTTTTCTAGGCCAGGGCTGTCCAGGAGCAATCGGATGCAAGTCAACAAGTAATTTTAAGTGCTCTAGTAGCTATGTTTTTGAGAAGGGAAAGAAGAAATGAGTGAAATTAATTTTATAGTACATTTTATTTAATCCATTATATCTAAGATACTGTCATTTTTAGCATATAATTAACATAAAATTATTATTGTGATGTTTTATATCTTTTTCTTAACTAAGCTTCAAAACCTAGTGTTTATTTTACACTTATATCCCTGATGAATACAAAGGACAAAAATTACAACAACTTAGTTTCAAGATGTCAACTGGTTTTATTTGCAATTCTAGGATTGGTTAAAATTTCATTCCATAAAATAAAATAAGTGTTCAGATGGGCTAAGCAAAAGAAGTTGGTTTAAGAGACAGACAAGGCTGAAAAAGGTAGAAACGAAGAATAAATTGATAGATTATTTCAAAATTACTTTTTTTGTAGGGCAGGGAAGAGTAAGAACAATTGGAAAACATCTATTGGTTAATATGATAGTAAGAGTAAAGCAGAGGGGACTTTATTTTCATGCCAATTGAAAAATGGCCTATTTGGGAAATTTGGCTCAGTTTAGCATTGGTGACATGGAACTTTAGCATAGGTGGCTCCATTCTAATCTTTTGCCTGGTCTGTTGGATCCCAGTGGTGGAGCCCTGTCTAAAACAGTGGCCTCTTATATTACCCATTGTTCACATGCCCATAGCCACACATAGCTTGTGGCCACCAAATGGAAGGGTGCAGCTCTGTATCCCCGCTGCCAGAATGGCTGCCTTTCACCAGCAGGCCAGACCTGAGACTGACGGTGCAGGTCAGGGGATATGAGTACGGACCAGACTAGGCACTGCCAGGTAGCCTTGTTGGCAGAAAGCTTGTAGAAGCAGACAGGTGCACTCTCCTCCTACCATCCATTGTTTGTGCTTCTTTGGAGCTCTGTCTAGAACATTTTACTTTACAATACTTGGACTCTGCTCTGGAGATCCTGACATAATTGGTCCTGGGCAATAGGTACTATTTAAGAAGTCCTACAGATGATCCTAATATGCAGCCTTGGTAGACACAGACCAACCCAACTCCCAACACCATGCCCTCCTTCAGTTCCACCCCAGGTCAGGATAAAGACGCCTGAACTCATATTCCTGGGCACTTTGGAATAATGCTCCTATAAGTATACCTCTGTAAAATTGTATGAAACAGTCTTAATTGTCTCAAAACTCCCAGACTGTGTCTGGCTGTCTGTGAACCTAGTGCCTGTTTGGGAAGATCAGGTGTTCTCAATCTGTCTGCCACTCTCTGTTCTGGGCTGCAGTTTGCTAGCTCAGCTAATTTCCCTTTGGCTAGTGAAGTACAGAAAGAATAGAGGATTTATACATTTATGAAAAAATTAATTGTCCCAATAAAAATGTCCATAGTCAACATGCTGATATTGTTAGTCCTTTCCTGGAAACAGTTAAATTCTACAGATATTTATTGAGTCCCCACTGTGGGCCAGACATAATATGAAGCAAAGATGTTTTCCCATACCACACACCATCTCCGAGGACCTCCCCTTTTGTGGACCCAGCAATGAAGGGGCTGGGATTCAGGAGAGTTGAGTCCTCTCTGTCCTTTAGTTTCTCAATCTATGGAAACAAAAATAAAATACCGCATAACATTCTTATAGTATTTACAGTGTCTGAAGAACTTCGAGCATTATTGTTTTTCTTATTTTTTTAAGACAGGGTCGGGTCATGGTATGCAGTTCAGGCTGGCCTCAAATTCAAAGTGAATGTCCTGCCTCAGCCTCCTGAGTTTTGGGATTATAGGCATGCACCAACACACCTGGCCATGCTTTTTAAATTATTTTTATCATGTTTAAACTTTTAAAAGTATAATCTTTATGTATAAGTTTAAGTTCTTAAAGTTACCCAGTTTCTTCTTGCAAAGAAAGCTTTCAGGATGAGGTATAAATATAATTTTATATCATTGACAGTCTAATTTGATGATCAAATATCAAATATACTGTATATTTGATCAAATATACTGTATATTTGATATAATAATGAAATGATTAAAAATATACTTTTTGACTCCCGGACATGTGCACTGAGCAACATCTCCAACCTTGTAATTTCTTTCCTTCTTTTTATTTTTGAGAGTGGGTCTTACTAAGTTGTTAAATTGTCCAGGCTGGGCTCAAACTTTCTATCTTCCTGCTTCAGCCTCCCAGAGTGCTGGGTTTTTAGGTGTGCGCCACCATACCAGGATTAAACAAAATTCTAAATTATGTAAATCATGAATTCGAAAAGGAAGACTTTCTGCTCTTCCGTTTTCTTCATGAACCACGTGCGTGGGGAGGGGTCGGCAGGCAGACGCATGCGCACACTTACTTTGTGCTCACCTGAGGAGCAGGGGGGAAAGGAGAAGGGAAGAACCCTATGCTCAGTATTGGAAAGGTTCTGTAGCAAGTATAATTTGCTGAATGTACTTCTGCAAAATCAAAGCAAACAAAAAACCTGTGTTGAATGTGAGCAGATCTCAGATCATTAAACAGTGAGCGGCAGAGGGAAGCGTAAGCCGGGGAAAAGGAGAGACTTGGCTTTGAAAGGCTGCTTTCAAGGAAAGGCAAGGGGCTGGTGGGTCCAAAAGGAAGAGGTCTTAGAGAGGTGCTACATTTCCTTCGGGAGCTGACAGCTGTCCTCACTGGAAACGGATAGGCCTTCCACCCAAAGAAAACCCGAAGTCCCATTGTAAGAGCGAATCGGTTTGACAGAATGGCTGTTCTGTTTTGCTTGGTTGAGCCTTAGTGTGGACCCCTTGGGGAGCAGTTTAACAGACCTAAGGCTCCCTGTTCCTGGCCAAAGAGCCTTCCCCAGGGACCACTTGGCTTGGGGCTGGCGGCTCATTGGCACCTTCATGTTTTGCTATCTCTGTCTCCACCCACGCCTGTGGACCCCTCTGGGTGCATCTGGGTGGTGGGGCTAGGCAAACACTCCCTGCTCTGATGGTCCCGCCGCCTGCACAGCCGTCTATGCGTGTTGATGGCAGTTAGCCCATGAAGGTGTAACTGTCAGCCTGTGGTCACCTGTTCAGTGTGTCTCCTGCTAAGGGGCAAGGCTGACCCTAAGCAGGCAGTGGGTGACACTGCGGCAGGTGGAATGAATACTGAGCCAGGGGGTGTGACGAAAAGCCTGGACTCACTTCTCTCCCCATCACAGGGCCCGGGCCCCACAGAGCCCATTCTTGGAAAATTGCCTTTGTGATTGTGTGACACTTGGGAAAGAATAATAGCGTGTTTCTTCAAGGAGCTTCTTTGTGGAAAAGATAATACGTCAGGCAAGAGGGAGAGAGGCAGGGGCAGGGCAGGAAGGAAACTGCAGCTGACACTGGCTTGGAGCTGTTTTCCCACCTCTGGGTGTTGCTGCTGAGGTAAATGAAGCCGCTCACCCATCTGCTAAATGGTGGGCGGGCAGCAGGGCAGACACTGAGGAAGCTGCACCCTCCGGTGACTCAGACTCCCGAGCTGGCTAATCCAGTGAGGCTCCTAAGAAGGTGACAGAAAAGGGAAGTACAAAGGGAATGACTAAGAAGGAAGTAATTGTGAGGCTGGTGTGACAGCCCCAGGTGGGAGAGGCGCAAGCCTGCTATTAGGAATGACGAACACAGAAGAGCTGTGTCACTCGGCAGGGTCCCTGACCGGCTCTGTCTCCAGCCTGGCACAAGTGGCCCTGCGGCAGGAGAGAACCGCGTGGGAAGCAGGTGCGTAGGACAGATGCAGCGCTGATGCTGCTGGGGCCTGAGCCAGAGACCTGACTGCTGGAGGGCTTCCGATAATGGGCTGGATTGGGAACCAGAAAGATCAAGAGGGTAATTACGAAGAAAGTGTAGCAATCTGGAAGAAAATGTGGACAATTAAAGGGGAGATCTGTGGTGTTCTACCTCCCTAATGGAAGTATTTTCATTTGCAATATACTTTCCCAGCCTTGCCCACACATACTTATTTTTACAGAATTTTCAGCAAACTCAGAATTCATACCTGGTTTTTAAAAAATTCATCCCTACCTCAGGAACATTTCTCAGTATTCTTTTATACCCTCTTTGTCACTGGTAATTGCTATAAAATATCCCACCTACGGACAGACCATAATTAGTGGAAATATTTCTCTCTATTCTGTGGATAGATCACTTTTTTTCCCAGATAGCTGTATTGAGGTATAATTGGTATACAATAAATTATGCATATTTAAAACATATAATTTGATAATTTGCACGTGTGTAGACCTAAGAAATCATCACTACAATCAAGATAAAAACATACCCCTCACCCCCTGCCTCTCCTCCTGCCTCCTGGGGTCCCTTCTGCCTCTCTGAGTCATATTTGTTTTGTAGACTATCATTTTGGTGGTCCCCAGTGCCTCCTTGCAGTTCAGTCCTACCTTTATGTAGTCTCCTCTCTGGGTCCTGTGTTGTGCTTTAAAGAAGAGGATATGCTAGTTTTAGGCCAAGCCTCAGAAAGCACTTAGAGCATATACTTTTTTTGCAGAATGTTTCTTCTTGCAACCTTGCTGCCATATTGTGAGGAAGCTCAACTCAAGCATCATCACACAGAGAGAGCTCTGGAGAAGAGCAAAGTCCCCTGACTGTCAGCCCCATCTGACATCCCAGGTGGTGGCTAGGACACCCAGACAGACATCTTGGCCTGCCTGCCAGGAATCCTTCTGCCTCAGCCCACACCACATGGAGCCAAAGAACTGCCGAGTCTGCCCACAGAATCCTGTGAAATGAGTTATAGTTGAAGTCACTGTTTTGGAGTAGTTTGGTGTGCACTTCTCAGTAAATAAAATAGAATGAGAACACAACCTTACACAATCAATGTTAAGATGGATTCTCATTCTAATTCTGTGCAACTCTCCACATTTTAGCTCCTATACAAATAAATTTACTTAGTTAATTAATTTTTTATTTGTTCATTGCACTTGGGACTGAACCAAGGCCCCCAAAAGAGCTACAACCATTGTCTACAGTTAAACCTTTTGACTAATTATTTACTCTTGCTATCCATCCTACCATACTTTGGGTCTGCTTTTACTCAGAACTGGGATTCTCATCTTATGACTCCTTGCAAATGCTCTTACCATGGTCACCAGCTTATTCTTTGCAGCTTACTCCAGAGGACTTTGTGAGTTCTCATCTTATTTAATCTGTCAAAATTGCACTTCAATTTGTTAATCAACTCCCTTTTAAAGTTGTCTTTTTATTTGCATATTATATTGTGAGCCACATTTCAGTCTGAAATGTGCAGATTTCAGATATGTAAAGAAATAGTGACTTAAAAAGCATAGGATTTTATCCCACTGTCACACAAACATGGGAGCTGTGTTGTTGACTTTGCTCTGTGACATTATCATAGGCCCACTTTTTTTTTTTTTTTTAGTTCCTGCTTGGGCATCTAACCTGAGCTAGGCTTGGTCATACTTACCTGTAATCCCAGGACTTTGGGAGGCTGAGGCAGGAGGATTGCAAGTTTGAACACAGCCTGTGTGCAACTTAGCAACTTAGCGAGACCCTGTCTCAGAATAAAGCAATAAAAGTGTGTGTGGGGGGGCGTTAGGCACATAGCTCTGTGCAAAGGCCCTGAATTCAATCCCCAGTAATACCAAGAAAAGAAAAGACCTAGGTGTCCCACCTGTCTACATGGTCCAAGATAGTCATTTCTACAGCTACATTACCCCAGTGGAAAAAGTGCGATACATAGTCTTCCTTCCTTCCTTCTCTCTCTCTCTCTCGCTTTCCCTCTCCTCCTCTCCCTCCCACCCCTCTCTGTCTCTCTCTCTCTCTCTCTCTCTCTTGTTTTTTTCCAGTACCAGGGATAGAACTCAGGACCTTGTGCTTGTAAGGCAGGCATGGCCCCACTGAGCTAAATCCCTGGCCCCAGTGCCTCTTTCTTTTAAGAGAATAAACTGTATTTGTATCATCGTGTTCCGATATTTTAGTCAGATATAGTCACATGGTCGTGCTACCTGCAAGAGGTTTTAACTGCGTAGCCATCCACACAGTTCAAAATTCTACCACCACAGAACAAAGGGAGAGTGGGCGCTGAGGCAACCAGCTGTCTCCTCCAGACCCATGTAACTATTCCTTCTCAGTCTTCTTTGTGAACTTCTTCGGCCTCGGAGTCCTGCAATTTTCATATACCATGAGCCTTTCCCATTTGTGTAGCTCTCGATCTCCTATGCCTCCTTGAGGTCAGTGACCTGCAAAGCACTCTGTCTGTAACCCCATGGCCATCCTGACAGTCTGCCCTCACCTCCTTGCTCCCAGTCCCCTGGTATTTGTAAGGAAAAGATGTTCTGTTTTAGTATCAGCCTACTTCACCTGGAGAGCTCAGGAAAGATTTAGAAGTATTTTTCTAAACTTAATAGAAATACTTTAAAAATAGAAAAAAAAAGTGTAGGGAAAGTGGGAAGGGTAGGGGAAAGGGAACAAGGGAAAAGAAAAAAATATGAGAAAATGGAAATAAAGTGTTTGCAAATGGGGAGGGGAGGGGTGAAGGGAGGGCAGGGACAAGGGGAAAAAATGAGAACCAAGACCTGTCATGTGGAGGTACAGGATCCCAGTAATGAATGTAACTGTATTGTATACTTAGATTGTACCAATAAACTCAATAAAAAGAAAAAAATAGAAAAAAGATCTGTTTGGTGTTATAGATGACTTTAAAAAAAAAATCACAGTACAAAAGAGTCATTGGGGAAAAGCCACACGGAATCTGAATTTCCTAGGCGTGGTTAATAACATCTTCCGTGCCGTACAGTGCTTTACAAATCCCACTGTCTCATGTAATGTCCAGCACGGACTGTAAGGAAGGTATTGTCTAGAGGACAGCACCAAGGAACTGGTGAGGTCAAGCCTAGCAGAGGTGACGTGGGAGCAACTGTCACCCACATTTGCACTATGTGCCACCTTCAGGCGTGCACACATAGCAGATAGAGTTTGCTGAAGGAACACTCGGGCTAGAAGTGTCACAAGGGCGTCCGGTTTCCTGAAGGAAGGGACGCTCGCAAACAAAGTGCAACTGATGGCATATGAGGGAGAATGTTGGCAGAGATCATCTACTCTTTTATCATAGGCTCTTTCTTTCTGCCACTGATAGTTTTTCTTTCCCCGAAGCCTGCTGTGTCCGAAATTAACGTAGCTACTCTAGCTTTCTTTTGGTCAGTGTTAACATGATATATCTTTCTCCATTCCTTTGCTTTTAACCTCTATGTGTCTGTACATTTAAAATATATTTCTTATGGACAACATATAGTTGGGTCTTGTTTTTTGATTCGCTCTGACAATCTCTGTCTTAATTCATTTATTTGGACTGTTACCATTTAAAGAGATTATTGATATGGTCATATGAATATTCACCTCATTTGTACCTATTTTATTTGTTATTTCTTCCTACTTTGTTTATTTGGACAGCTATGTAGTCCAGGCTGAATGTGAAACTGAGATCCTCCTGCTTCAGCTTCTGGAGTACTGGGATTATAAATATTCACCACTGTGCCTGGCTTTTTTTCTTATTTTTTATCTTTCGCTCTTTTGTCTTCCATTGTGGTATTTACTTGAATGCTATATATGATTCCATTTTCCCTTCTTTCTTAGCATTAAATTATAATGTTCTAAAAACTGTTTTCGAGTGGTTGCTCTAGAATTTGTAATACACATTTACACCTAATTAAAGACCAGTTGGATGGTATAGTGTCCCATAGTACAATACAGAATGGGTTGAAGAAGAGGAAGGGAAAAGTTATTGTTTAATGGGTACAGAGTTTCTATTTGGGATGCTGCAAAAGTCCTGGAAATGGACGGTGGGGATGGTTGTACAATATTGTGAATATACTTTCAGTCCCTGAATAACATCCTTAAAATATTTTAAAATAGTGTATTTTATGTTACTTATATTTTCCCTCTATTAAATAAAAAAAAAAGAAGTAAAGAAAGAAATGTAGAGGGGGCAAGAGAGAGAAGAGGAAGAGGAAAGAAAGCAGGCCTGCATCTGGGGAGGCTCCTGCTTGCTAACTCAGCAGCTAAACTTCGTGTTGTAATAATCTATTAAAAAATAAACCAGCCAGCCCTCAGCCTTGCAACTGTGAATTCTCAGCTGAATAAGGAAGCATTTCATTTTGTTTAATTTGCATATTCATGCAATGCAAATATCAGAGCAGTAGGAAATGAATGGGGGAGGTGCCGCCAGCAGTAAACACTTCGTTGAAAAGTTGATCACCGAGCTGTTGGTGTGAAGGGCATGAAGATGACAGATGAAGAGACATAAGGTCTGATGAAATTCAGAGGCAGTTCCTCGCAAAGATCCAAGGACAGACAGAAATGTGACAGCAGACACGTGGCAGCAGGCTAAGTGGGTGTAAGGAAGAGACAAGTCTTTGTTTAAAGTTCATTCGAGATTGGTGTCAGTAGAACAGCAGCGAGAGGGAAGGCAAGAAAACGTTGGCAGGAAAAACGCTGATCTTCACACCACCCGTGGGGGAGCCTGCTGCAAATCCAAACACGTCCTTCAAAACTCACATGCACAACTCTTTGTTTCTGCAGACAGCTCTGGTAAGATTGGAGTGTTGTGCAGCTTTCGTTTTATTTCTTGAAAGAAAAACAGTTTTGTGTGTAGTTGACCGCATATGAATCCAGACTTGAATTAGATACCCCTGGCATTGTCTTTAAATGCTGCCAGTCTCAGCCTGCTGGCTCAGATTTCAGACAGAGCAAGTACTCAGCGCACTTTCCTAGGTTATTTGGGCCTTGCTGTCTCCTAGTAGCCATCTTCTCCTACTACTCATTCTCTTTCCGAGCCCGGCAACTTTTCAGATGGTTCAGTCTACCCTGTGCTCCTAAAAACTTGGAGGAAGCATAAACTGCAGTGTAAAGAGGCCTGAGGGAGTTGAAGCAAGTCTTGGAGAAGCGACTGGAAGGAGGCTGGGCTCTCTGACCTTCCTGACAGCCGGAAGCTAGTCCTTAGCCTGGCCTTGTGGGAGGAGGGCCAGAATCCATCAGGTGTATCTACCATGGGCAAACAACGGGGGACCAATGTTACTTGACCCACCTATTTGATGGTTTTGGATGAGGCCTAGTCCCTCTCACTGGTATCTTACCTTTCACTTATAGACACATCCATTTCAATCTTCTCTGGGGTCCAATTCTATGCAAGGTGGCTGTATTGGTTTCCTAAGGCTGTCCTAGCAAATCACCACAAGCTGCACGGCTTAAAACACCAGAAATGCATTCTCACATAGTTGTGGTGGTTAGAAGTCTGAATTCAAGGTCTAGGTAGGGGTTCCTTCTGAGAGCTGAAGAAGGATCTGTCCCACTCCTTCGTCCAGCCACCAGTTCTGGGTGCTTCTTGACAAATGGTGCCATGTTTCCACTCTCTGCCTCCATCTCATGTGGCATTGTATAGCCTTCTGCTCTTGTATCTTCTCATCTTGGTGGTTTGTTTTTGTTTGTTTGCTTGTTACAGGGTCTTGCTATGTAGTCCAGGATGTCCTCTAACTAATGATCCTCTTGCCTCAGCTCCCATGTGCTGAGATTACAAACCCTATAATTCTTTTTTATAAGGACACCCATCACACTGTATTAAGAGAGCACCCTATCCTAGTATGACCTCATCTTAACTAATTACATTTATAACAACTCTATTTTTAAATAAGGCCCAATTCTGAGGTTAGGACTTCTGCGTCTTCATAGAGGACACAATTCAATCCACAGTAGTGACTAAAGCTAAAGTGTTCACTGAAGCCACCTTGGTGCAAGGACAGAATTGAATTGGAATCTGCCATTTCTGCTCAGGTAAAGAAAACTAGGATGATGGAGGAATGCTTCATTTTAACCCGAGGAACTGTACTCTGGGTTATGGGAACTGAGGAAAGAGTTTTCTCCTGGGCTTTGGGATTCAGCTGGACATGATCAGAAAGGCCTTGGAGTTTCTTCTGATGCCTGTACCCATGGCTGGTCCCACAAAGAGGTAACCACAGAGAATTCCCGTTCTTATTCTTAGCCCTTTTACATGCAAAAATACAAATAAAGTTTAATATTTCTACCTACCCACAGTTTAAGTTCATCAGGACAGGCCCTGCTATAGTTTGCATGTATTTCTCCAAGACTCATGTTAAAACTTGACCCCAATGTGACAGTATTAAGAAGTGGGGGGGTTTAGGAGGTGATTAAACCAGGAGAGTGGAGCTGCTGTGAGTGGTGTTAATGACCTTTTAGAAGAGATTCAAGATGCTCATCTCTTTTTATCTCTCTAGCATGTTGGAGAAGACAGTGATTGAGGTGCCGTGCTACAAGCAAAGATCTGGCCCTCACCAGATGCCAACCTGCTAGCACCTTCATCTTGGACTTCCAGCCTTCAGAACTATGAATAATCAATGTCGATTATCCATAAATTGCCCATTCTGTGGGATTTCCTTATAACACCAGAAATGAATTAATACAGGCCCAGAAACTCCTGTAAGTCTATAAGGAATGCAAAAGTTACTTTTTGAGCCTCAGTTTATCTGCAAAATGGGAGCTATTAGCCTCGACAGGAAATGTAGGGCTTCTTTTTCTCTCCTCAGCCTGCAGTCCTGGTAGTCAGCCTACAGGCCTGTGGAACTGCTGGCCTGTGGTGCTTACAATCGGTTGACAAGGGTGGTGTGTCCTTATGTGTCTCGTGGTGACAGTGCTCATGTTTTCCTTTACTCTGGGCCCTCGGGAGTGCTGCAAGCTCTTCTCTCCTTCCGAGCTCACCGCCACCTGCAGACTGCTCTCTTCTTCTTACCTCATCCCTGTGCAGACTTACCATCCCCTGTCTGTGCCCTCACTTGCTCAGGCTAACCACCCTCATCCTCATGAGAAAGTAACTCTGAGGCATGAGTCTCTTGTCAACTGTCTGAGAAACATCTCAGTGCTGTCCTCCCTCCCCCTGCTCTGCACTAACTAGTTCCCTCCACCCCTTCTCCAGCGGCTCTTTCAAGCCCCAGACATCCCTTCTTTCCACCTGTTCCTCATTGATCCCCCACCCTCATCACAATCCATTCCTAGCAAGCCTACAAAGACACTGGTGAGTACACTTGGATGTGCTTACTGTGAATGAAGAGCTTTTATACAATAGACAAAGAGTGGGCTGTGCCTACCCCTGAGATTTGTCTTGATCTGTCATGAAAAAAAAAAAAATGGAGCTCTATGTTCCACAGCTTTGTTTTTGCCCATTTGTTTCTCAGCGGTGTCCCTGCCTTGGACTAATCCTTCGACAGTGATCGATCTGATCCCAATTGTTGGTGGACACATGGGATGTGAAATGTGTCCCTACTATAGATTTTGCTCAGTGGCATCCTTTCCATTCTGGTAATGAATCTCCAGGCCTGTACTGTTCACTACATTTCTCTGCTTTTCTTGATTTCTATGAAATTTTTCAAATCAACTAAACACAACGTCTTGACTTACCCTCCACCCACTTTGTAAAGTAATGTGGAAAAAAACTCAGCAAATGCCTTGCCTGATTGATTTCCAGAAGCCTTTGATTTCATTTTTGCATAATAATCTCTGACCCCTGTGGGCAATGTAGACTAACAACTTGACACAGAGACTCTGAAAAGCTAACAGTATATGTTGATTTTTTTGAGGGAGGAGGTATAGAGCTGCCTCTCTGCTACCCAAATCCCTGCAAAGAAAGCCAAGAGGGTCTGTGGGTGTAGCTCAGTGGTAAAGCACTTGTCTAGCATATGTGCGATCTGATCTTGGGACCAACCTCCAGCACCCCACCCACCTGCCCCCACACAAATAAAACAAAACAAAAAATAAAACCCAGAAGTGTTCTAATTTATTTTTTGTGTTTTGGAGACTGTCTGGCTATACAGTTCAGGCTGCCTTGATCTTGCCATGAAGTCCAGGCTGACATCAAACGAAGTGTCCCCTCACTTCAGCAGTCTGAGTGCTGGGTTTACAGGTGTGTGATAACATGTCTGGCTGTAATTTATTTATTTTAATTGACAAAAATTATATATAAATATATATGTTTATAATGTACAATGTGATGTTTTGAAATATACATACATTGTGCACTTTTTTTTTTTTTTGAGACAGGGTCTCACTATGTAGTTGAGACTGACCTGGAACTCACTATGTAGCCCAGGCTGGTCGTGAACTCAGTGATCCTTCTGCCTCAGCCTCCTGAGTGCTGGGATTACAGGCGTGAGCCACCATGCCTGGCTTTACACCAACACTGTGTAGTGGCTCACATATGTACTTCCTCACACACTGATGAGGTATTTGTGGTCCAATTATAAAAATTTGAATCAACAGTGGGCATCTTCAAGACACAATCATTTCTAAGTCTGAGAAATGATACCCTATATTACCTAAATTTTACATAAGCCCTTAGGAATATGTATTTTATTCCCATTTTATAGATAATAAGACCAAGACCCAAAGACATTAAGGGATCTGCCAAAGCCACACAGCTACTGAAAAATGGACCTGGGATTTGAACCCCTGTCCCGACCAAAGCCCACGATTTCCACCCTGACTCCCAAGTTAGCAGCACAGGACTTGCGAATAACACCATGCCTCTCTGAGTCTCGTCTTGCACTTGACCTTTCACTGCCGTGTGCCTAGTCAAATCTACACACCTCAGAACACAGAGGGACCCAAAGTAAGAAGGAGGAAGGCCAGACGTGGGACGTGGACCTCAGCAAGAACTGGACTCCAGAAGGACTGCCGGAGGATTAGTGTTCAGAATTGGTACGGACAATTTCTAATTTACATTGTCGGTCCCTTAGTTTTTGTGAGCTGGCCTGGGAATCCAACCACCATTTACAATCTTGTTTTTACAGATAAATATCACACAAGCTGTAGTAAACTTTGGGAACCAGGTCGATGTCGTCCAAGCTGCTTGTTAGGATTCGGCGTGACTGGTGACAAACAAGGGGTGGGTTTGTGTTTCTTAGAGCAGACCAGCTTTCTCTCTGTGCTGTGACATGTGGTCACCCTCATTTAGCTTGCTACACACGGAAGGAGCACCCGAACTTTCAAAGGGCTGTGAACCCTGAGACGTGAGGTAACCTGGCCGAAGAAAAGTTAAGCAATGCACAGAAAAACTGGAAGAAAATATACTAAAATGTTAACAGTATTTCAGTGGAGCAGTATTTCAGGAGGTTTAACTTTTTTCTTTTTGTGGTATTGGGAATTAAACCCAGGGCCTTATGAATGTCAGGCAAGCACCTTACCTCTAAGCCACATCCCCAGGTCATCTTTTACTTTTCTATAGTATATAAAAAAACACCCTATATCGTTTTGATAGAAAATATTTTGGGATGAAAGAAAAAGGACTTTATAAAAATCACTCCGCCAGTGGGGAGGGGCAGTATTGCCACACTCAGCCATCTGCTGTATCTTCTTAAGTGTTCCACAGTGTGAGAAGATAATAGAGGCCACAGAGGGGATGTGGAATAAAATATGTACAACTGTGAGAGCCGGGGCACGTTCCCAGGCATTTGCTATAGGTACGGTCGGTCGGTGACTCTTCTTTGTCTCTTCCCTCTTGACTCTCATCCAACTCTGAAGGAGTATTCCTTCCCACCCCCCAAGCTTAGGCTCCTTCCCCCACTCCCAGAGCTGGCACAAGACCAGGAAGCTTAGGTGGTCCCAAAATAAAGGCACAGGCTGCTCTTAACCTACTGTACTTGTCATGTGCTTGTTGACTCTTTCGCCACCTGCTGCTGTTATTGACTGCGCACTACTTTTCCTTTTCTGCTCTGGCTGCCTAGTGTGCGCAGGTGAAGCACTTCTTGGCTAAGCAGATTCTCCTTGAAAACCTGTGCTGCAGTCATGGGCTCCTCTTCCCATATTGACAAAACTTCCCGCAAATTTCCCCACAAATTCCACACACTGTGGACCCTGGCTAGTACCGATGCTCTCTCAGCCCTTTAAGCCCCCAGTTCAAATTCCTAGGCTCTATCTCCCTACTCCAACTCCTGACCTCCCCAGGTGGGTCTAGAATCACCAACTAATAGACCTAGGTGAGTGGTGGTATTTTCAGTAGCCTTTAAAACCCAGAAAAACAGATCATTCAACATGGAACAAAGGAGAGCACAAATTGAAAATGCAAAAACTTGGATCTTCTTTTTGAAGGAAAGTGAGGAAGTTACCATTTTATTCTTTTGCTCAGAAGACCAAAAGCAGCAAAATAAATTACTAAATATGTGCTTATGTTTAAGTAAAATATGTAACCTAACAGACTCCCCAAGTGCAGGGAAGTATCTGGGGGTAAGGGTGAGGCTAGGAAACCATTGTTCCTACTCCAACACATTTTTCCAATGTTGTACTTCTTCAATAATTATTTTGGGGGGCACTGGGGATTGAACTCACAACCTTGTGCTTGCAAGGCAGGCATGGCACCACTGAGCTAAGTCCCCGGCATCTTCAATAATTTTTTTAAAAATGCTTATTCCTTGCTTGGCACTGTGGGCAGGTGGTGGAAACTTTAGGAGGTGGGACCTGGCGGGAGGGTGTAGATTACTGGGAGCGCATTCTCAAAGGTGGCTGTACATCCCCTTTCTCCCTTTTTCTCCTTCACACCTCAGCTACAAGGTGAACATCTTTACTGGTCCACACACTTCTGCCTTGATGCGTTGCCTGCCCACAGGCCCAAAACAATAGGCCAATCAATGATAGACTGAAATCTCTGAAACTGTGAGTCAAAAGTATGTCAGTTATGTCAGGTACTTGTTGCCATTACAGAAAGCTGACTACACAGTCAAATTCGTAGAATAATATAATATTTATCTCTATGAGACCGGACTAGTTAGCTTAATGTCACGTCTTCACAGTTCACCCATGCTGTAGCATGTCATAACTTCCTTCTTTTTTTAACCTGAGTAATATTCCATTGTACATATATTACATTTTGTTCATTCTTTCATTGACTGATGGACACTTGCATCGTTTGCATTGTTTGCACCTTTTGGATATTGTGAATAATCTGCTGTGATCGCAGATGCACAAATATCTCTGAGTCCCTGTTTTCAATTCTTTGGGGTGTGAACAACTTTTCTGAAAGCATTATGTTGACATAATGGCCATTAAGTCCACGGTGAAGATCACGAGGTTAAATTAAGACAATAAGCAGTGGAGAAGTTGGTCTGCGGCAGCTCCTTTTTCATGCTTGTGATGCCTGCCTCTGATGGTGATTTTCAGTGATTCACCCCAATGCAGGTTGAGCATCCCTCTCTGAAAATCCACAATTTAAAGTGAGCCAAAATCCAAAACTTTGTGAGTACCAACGTAAGACCATGAGTGGAAAATCTCACACCTGTCCGTGTGACAGGTCATAGTTGAAACACAGGCACATATACAAATGTTGTATAAAATCACCTACAGGCTATAAAATAGAAGTGAATTTTATGTTTAGACTTGTGCCTCATCCTCAAGATAGGCAAAAGCCCAGATATGCAGAAGTCAGTTATGCATATGCAAGTATTCTAAAATTGGGAAAAATCTGAAATCTAAAACACTCATGATCCCAGGGCTCCCAGGATTTGTGGGGCCCGACAGAAGATGAGATTTCTGAAGTGGTAGGGAAAGAGCCTCCACTCCCTAGTTTTGCACTATCACTATCACTGTGTGTGTGTGTGTGTGTGTGTGTGTGTGTGTGTGTGTGTGTGTGTGTGTGTGTGCACATGTGCATGTGGGTGTGGACTGTACAGCATTGTTTGGGCATTTCACCTCCATGGTCCAGCCTACAATCATACTCCAGTATCACAGCACACTTCACAAAAACAACTTGATCAGCTAGTCTCTTCTAGAAGAGCTCAAACAGTGTCCATCGAACCAGAGAAAAGCACAGCCACCCATCTTCCCCCTGCTGACCTAGAGCTCCCCAATTCTAAGTACCCACCATCAAACCCAAGTAAAAGATTCTAGGCCTTTCAAAGAAATTGTAGACACCTTTGGGTCTATTTGCTTTAGCAGGTCTTCAAAGAAACAAGAACATAGCTGAAAGCCCTTGTTTAAGCTCAACAAGGTCATCTTATTAATTATCTGTAATGTCCTCAGGTACAGATGGAGAAAAACGTGAATGCGTGCATAAGAGTGGCAAAATCAAATGAGGCAGATCATTTCACGGCAGCAGCACACGGAGCTGCCAAATGAAGCTTCCTGGCCACACACAGGAGGATGGCTGCAGGATTAGGAGGTGAGGGCAGGACAGGCTTTGCATGGAGGACCAAGGGAAAGAGCAGATCTTAGAGATGTTCATCTGGGCATGGTAGCAAGCTGCTGATGGATGAGCCGTGTGAGTCTTTGGCAGAGGCCCTTGTATTGAATCTGAAGCTCTCTGAGCTCTTTCAAAAGTATTGGTGGTAATCCAAGTCTATTATTACTGCTGTGTTCTCATTTCCTCCTCTTTCTTCTGTTTGTTTCTTGTTGCCCACACTAATGCAAATGGATTACCTGATATTTTATATATAAGCAACTCAGATATTTTTAACTACAGTGAGGTCACATCCTAATATTATGAATAGGCCTTGTGTTCATTTTAAGAAGAGGAAAAACTCCAATTTTCTGCATGGATCTTAATTAGGCTTGAATAAACAAATAATTTCATAATTTCCTTTCGTATTTATTAAGCATCACATCATACTACCATTTATCTGGAAGTCCCAGTGATTTGATGGAGTCGTGGGTGGAAGGAATGCTTCCAGACCCCTGCTTGTGCGTCTTTATCTTTTGCCGTTCTTATCCTCCCTCTGTCCAGCCTTCCCCAAGCACAGTCGCCCTGTGAATCTGAAGTGGCTGCACAGAGCTGTCCTCTTGCTCCATGGCAAATCTGTCATTCAATAGCTGGTCGTTTTTCCTCACCTATGTAATGAAGCTTATAGTTTACTACAAACTTGGTACAAGGCCCAATTTCTGTTCATAAACTCTGTCAGCATTGGATGAACTGTGCTTTTTAAGGGCCAAGATTATAATGAAACCTCGGTTTGACTGTGTCCGACAGTGGGAACTGGAAATACAAAAGATGCTGTCTTTATTGTGAACAGAGGCTGAGGGTGCCCAGAGTTACTTCTTCTGAGCTTTGGTGGAAGTCTCCTCCATCATCCTCCTTGCTGTTGTTCCCAAGCCTGGACCCTCGCACATTTACTGAATAGCTTGTCTTGAGACTGGTTCCAATGGTCCTTACTTTCGATCTTTCAAACTGCCACCTTTTCTAAGAAGTTCACTGAAGTTAAGCAGAAATGAAATAATGATTTTCCTGCTTTATTCTGCTTCCTTAGAACAGTTTCTCACCTCACAAAATTAGGACAGTTACTTACTTTGCTCCTCTCCAGACGATTTCTTTTACCTACAAATGTGTCATTGTAACATTTTCTAGGACATAAATGGCTGAAGGCACCGGGCAGGGCTGGCACAGAAGATTACTAAAGGAGTGGGTACTTTGTCTCATTCAAGTTGTGTTCTTCGGGGGCCAGAACATAGTAGGTACAAAGTAGAAGGTGGATGGATTGATTAAATAATGAGTTGGCAAAGAATTTTTTCCTCTGAAACAACACTGAGGTGCTTTATATGATGCCCTCTATTTTTTAGAATATGGAGTCTGTCATGTTTCAAGAAGAGAAAGTACAAATACAACAACTTGATTTACAAACAATAATGAAGCCAGAAAAGTTCAGCTCTGAATGAACACTGACAATAATCCAGCCATTGATTTCTTAGTATCAGAAATTTA